AATTCGAGGGCTGCTGGTGCAGAAGAATTACGGCAGGGGAGTGGACACGGGGGGACGGACATATCAGGGTTTGGAGCTGCACGTGCCTGATTTGGAGCCCTTGAATCCTTTTCATCCCTTGCACTTCATTTAGCAAAATCATATCCACAGAGGCGGTTTCTTTGGAGAGCAACTTTGAATGCCATCAGCATCCATCAACATCAGAAAATCTGCAGAGCGAGTAGCGCGGCATAGGACGGCTAGACAACACATTGTGGTTGCGCTGCCCGACATTACAAGAGTTTCGGAACTGGGCCTTGCAACCGCAGGAAATCCATGGATCCAGGAGGTCATAGCCATCAGCATTAGAAGAGCTACAGAGCCTATAGGATGGCAAATGGAAGAGTTTACAAGGGTTTCAGGAACGGCGAGGGGGCCTTCAATTTCTGTAACAGCCATGGATTTCTCGCGTATTCTCTTGGCCAGCATTCATCAATTTTTTGGGGCAGCGGGACAGAAATTCGTTTCACAATGTTCATTTCACTCACTGTCACGGGCATCAGAAGATCTAATCAGGTACAACCGGGGGGTCGGTTGGTGTAGATATTGCGGTGCAGCAGCAAAGGCACAGGCAAGGGCAACGCACCACAAATGGATGACAGCAAGCGTAGCCTCAACGCCGTAGAGCCAAAACAGCATGCCATGCGTGCGCTCTAAGCGAATTCGAGTCGAGGCATCGTGCTGACACCATGCGCCACACTCCTGCATGCATTCGGGAAGCAAAGACGCAGCCTGAAGAAGAAGGCGACATGGAAGCACTTGTGGCATGGCTGGGCCCTGTTAGATTGAGTTCCCGTATCTTGGCAGGTTCACTTACGGCAAAGCAGTGCCCAAGAAACAGCACCGAGCGTCGAACGCTGGACTTTGGCCTCGCAAGGCACACCTCGACTTGAGGACGCGATGTGACTCGATCGGCTTTGGAGTTTCCTTGTCTACTCAACCTGCATGGCCGGAGGATGACCCTGACGGCCAGGTTAGGGACCAGGCGCCTGGGCCTGGGGTGTGTTGCAATAGGCTCGACTGTTGTTGCTGCCGTTGCCAACTTGGTAATAATTACCCTCTAACTGCTATACTTACTGCAAGTAGGGTACTGAACGGTCTGTTTTTGTTTGTTTCATGAACTGAACGCTGGTATGATGGTGTTGGCTGCGCTTTGATTCCAATTCTTGCTAGCATCATGACATGCACCACTTCATCATCATAGCCCCTACATTTTTACAAGCATGTTCATCGGGTCACGGTGCCTGTCGCCACCACCATCATCAACTCCATGTTCAGCATAGCCAGTATCTTGATGATTCTTGGTATCGTCGGCATCAAGTAGCTTGGCAATCAGCATGCGAAGCCTCATTCATGAATGCCCGTGTTCTCGCTTGTGACACGTAAGGCCAGTCGTTGGTAATCAGTGTTGGAAGAAATTCGAACGAGCATCACGCATGGTAAGTGTTATTGTCATTGTCACCATCCTGACCGTATTCCTCAGCAGCCAAATGTTGCGCATCTTCGCTACAAGCACTGGTTTCTTCCAGAATGCGTCGCAAACAGATCTCATCCCAAAGGCAGGAATTGAGGGGGATACTTGGCACCTTACACAATGTCGCAATTGTCGCCCAATATGAGTTGTGGGTGGGGGTCGCTGGGATGCGGGGGGTCGGTCCACTAGTTTGGAACCTGGGACTGGAGTTACTCGTGGACATGAAGCACTCGTCGTTGCAAAGTCCGATCAAGAACCTCGGAAGCAGAATAGTGAAAGGCATACAGCCCCGAATGCCAAGCATCACATATCCAGAAAGTGTTCTTGAGGCTTCAATTTGAATCGAGAACCTCCATTATGTTAGACCACAGGCTGGAAACTGTGACATGATGTCATGCATACCTTCAGGTTGCACAATTGTGGGAAGACCTGGAGCCGAAGCTGATGTACTTGCCTTCTTCTTAGATGCCTGTCGCCCCAGTCACGATGTAGCGGAATGTGGCGGTGAACTCGTGAGGCCTCGACAGGATCGCCTTCGCGCGCTTTCGGCGCTTTGCGTTGCAGCGTTCCGCATCTCAAGCAGAAGGTACACATACATAAAGGTGGCATCCTTCTCCTCGATAGGATTGATAGTACCCACTCGTTTCCATCACGAAGCGTTTGCCCAGTCAAGATGCCAAGATAGCACACCCAAATCAGACACGGCTACGTTCCTGGTAAACAAGGGCGATGCCACAAAATATTGGAAATACAGAGTCAATGGACAAATAGTATCGAGATGCATGGCAGAAAGTGCAAATGTGTTGTTTTTAAATAAACTGGCCCAATGAGAGCAAATGCGATGCCAAGAGAGCACATCTCTCGAGACAAGCTATCATAAGGCTATAAGAACAAGCAGCTGATAAGCCAACGCAGAAGGTTGCTTTGACGCTTATTGTTCAGAGAACCGAGGCTGGCACATCGAGGCCAGATGAGGAAGTCTGGCGAGCCGTACATTGTTCATCCGGTGGCAGTGGTTCCTCGTCGGAGATGCTTGATTAAGCAGCGTTTTGTTGCAAACGTTCCGGACGCTTGCAATTTGACCGCTACATTGAAGAAGCTGGTTTGCTAGTCTGCTTATCAGCTAGTCAGTCGCAAGGCCGAGCTCCTTGCTCTGCTGAAGGCACAAGATGCAGAATGAGAAGCTTTGCAGATTTCTGGTGCTGCACATGCTTCAACTCAGCCATGCTCAGGAAGATGGCCTATTCCTGTAGCACTGGCGCATGGAATGCTGTCTGAAGACATGAACTGTTAGAGATATGTTGTAGTATTGTAGTTGTAGACGTGTATATCCAGTACGTGTGCTTGTGATCTTCGCGAAGCCTCGTCCTTTGAACGTAGATTCCCTGTTAAATTACAGGGTCTTTGTTGTGGCATGGACACCCGCAAGGTGCAGGTAGATGTCATCGTTGGCGGCTTGCCTCCCAGCTGCAAGAAGTTGCCTTTATCAAGGCAGGCAAATGACAGATTTTATTTCGTAAGCTGCAAGGTTTGGCTGGGATGAGCCACAGTCCTACAGACGCGTAATCAGTATTTCAGCACGTTCGTGTTCAAGTATTGTTCGCAGACACTTCAAAGCCCACCAGCCCACGCACCTGTTCCCCTTATGGAAACAGATTGCGCGATTGCCTTCGCGAACGAACTTTGAACCATGCCAAGCGGTCATCTGAAGATGTGCACGTACGTGTTTCAAATCTCGTTGCGTTCTCGAGTTTGACCTGGGATTCCTAGAAATCCCAGGAACGTGTGTAAGTTTCATTTCGGCAAAAGAAAATGAAAATGGCCCATGGAAGATGCCCGAAGTGCACTGTATTCCAAGATGGGCTCATGCTGGGAGCTTTGGCCTCTGTCCACTAAAGGTTTTTGACTTGAAGTTCAGGGCCTGGGGATTCGGGCAATGCTGTGGAGGTTCGCCTGCCAAGCAACCCTTATTTGGAGGGCGAGAGTGGACAGAGGAGAGCTTCATCACTTGGATCCAGTCTAGCTAAGTTTCTGAAATCTGGGCAGCCAACGAAAGCTGGCGAAACAATCATAACATAGTCGTCATAGCCGTCACATGCTGACAAGCTGTAGCCCGTGTGCCATTTGTGAAGCATGGAAACGCAAGCATCAGCATACTAACAACAGCCGTTTTATCCTTTATTTAAGGAAGCCAGGTGTTAACGCTGGCGATTGAACAAGTCCAGCAGCAAAAAAAGGAAGCCAGGTCTTTCAAATGTTGTTTGCGATGACAAGCGACGTGCGTCAAGGCATGGCTGTCTTACCCAAAGTCTGATGATCTAAAGAGTCTAGGCATGCACCAGAAGGAGCAAAACGCGCCTCAGAAAGCGATGGAGCTGGAACTATAGGGGAATGAGCTTTCCAAGAGGGATTCAAATATGATACATGATTAGTGGCATTGTTCTGCACTCCTACTGAAATGGACGCTAGAATGGGAAATCATAGCCTTGCCTTGACTGGTAAAGGAGACCATCTCCGCATTTTGCAGCCCTCAGGTTTCAAATGGGGTCTATGTGAACAGACGCTCTCAGAACTGCAGTACTGGACCCCCAAATCTAAAAGAACTGATATTTCCATGCCCTCCCTCGCTCGGACTTGTCTAAGACAAGAGTATGTGAAGGAACTCAGCTCATGAAGATTGCTTTGACATCGTGCTTCATTAACGGAAACCCAGCATTTGTTGACCGATGCTTGCCTCAGCAAAAGCCTCAGATTTTGCTGGAACAAAAAACGCATCAAGGGACTGCTGCAGAAGAGCTTGGCTTCGGCAGTCTGACTCAGATGCAGAATGATACAACCAAGTTTTTTAAAGAGGCCTTGACGTCCGGGGGCTACACGTGAATGATTTGCGTTCACGCTGCGAAAATACTCGCAAACACAGGCTGCACGACACGGTTGAAGACAATCCGACTATTCACTTCGAGGATTTGGAGCAAATCTTTGGGCCAGACGTCCGTCGCACCTTGCACGCTTGAGAGGTGACTTTCGCAGTGCTGCCTTAGCATGTTACACAGGATCCATGCAACTCCAAATTCCGTTCAAGAAGTCTTGATGCCTTGTTTTCAGGTATTGTAGAAGGAGAGACCAAAGCGTCCAAGAGGACGGCATTGGGTGGACGAGGTAATTGGAGCCGACGCTATACTTCGCTGCCGGGCTCTCAGGGACTCGGGTAAAGCTAGGTCACTAAGAGTGATGCCGCTGCTGAAATCATCTGATGCCCGAGGTTTAACATATTCTTTGGCAACCGAACTCCCTCATCAACATCCAAAGATGTGTGCAAGGCCCGCGAGCAAGCGGAGAACTTGCGGGAGGGATCCTGAGATCTACGCCACCTTTCAATAAAGCTTCACGTGCTTGTACCATAAATCCAAGTGTTCATTGCAGTAGGGCTCGAAAGCATCCCAGGCCTGCAAAGACTTCGTGGCCTGCTAAGGACATGTTCCTGGCTATGGCAGACGACTATCGGGTAATTCTTGTCAAACTTGCAGATGGGACCTTAGCTTTCCCGCTGCACAATGACATGCTGGTGTTGAACTGAACTATGCCAACCATCAAATTTGAGTCGTCAGCCACTACAGCCTAAGGATCGATTGCACAACATGCGGACACTTCAGTTTATGTGACTTGGCTACATGTTGAATGTGCCCTGAGACCATTGAAGGCATGTTGAGGGGTGGAATGTCTTTACGTATTCAGCAGGCAAAGTCAGCCTGAAGTGACACAGGCTCACAGAATTTCATCTCGGTGGTGGGCACCCGGACACACGAAAAACGTACTTCCCAACAACAATGCACAGCCGGCAAGGCACTCATGCATGGGCACAAGAAGGCTCTTCAGAAGGCTGAACTTTGCAATGATGGTCTGCGCATGTAGGCCAAGCAAACGAATGACCTGCTTCTCTTCGCCTGCAATTTTTCAGATTTCATTGCTGGGACTTTGAGCCCCGGATTCACCCAGACAAGAATTTCCGTCCACCCACTTCCCGATCTCACTGCCCGCGGCAATCAACGATGCCGAATCCCTGCAATAGCTCGTTCAATTGTTTGGGCTGGCTTTTCCATTCCCAGAGCAGGCAGCAGTTTCCTAAACCTGTCCCTCAACTTCCTTTACTATTCGAGCATTTGCCGCATTTGCTCGACTTGGTTGACCATTCATCCTGCAAGCCGATGTGCCTTCCAGTGGCACTATCTACGGAACTGCCCCGTGGATGGATCCTCTTGCAACACCTGTTTGGGATTAGAAAAAATCTGGTAAGCATCAGAGCTTCATATAGGATCTTCATAAGAATTTGCTGGCAAGAGTCCTGCACTATGTTACGCACTTGTTTATGCAGGTCATAGGTTTTGCGCGACGTCAGGACTGCCCTTGGCAACGTGGTTTGGGCTTTTCGTAAAGGCTCACAGGATTCCAGAGGTGCTACGATGCGACCGCCTACATTGAGCCTTGCCGACCAGCCATATGGCAAAATTCACGAACCAAAATTCATTTCGACCCTTGCCAGCGTAGGCGGAATACCACCTGGACGGAATGTGGTGTGAGCCCGGCCGTGGGCAGGAGAACCTAGCAGGCAGGAAGCGTGCATTTGCAGATGCAAAGCACACAAATTGGGTGACCAACGCCGTCAGACATCACTCGCGGGACATCCGCCAATTGCAGGGAATCAGGAACGGACGGCGCAAGATTTGAGGCTGCGGAAAATGACACGTGTAGAGCCGTTCAGCTTGTCATTGCCAATTGCTGTTGTGACAAGTGGTAGGTCTCCATGTGTAGCCGTAGGAATCCAACGCTCTGAGGCCAGAGAGGAAGCGCAAGACGATTGCAGCAGAAACACTTGCGGCTTGCCAGTAGTTTTGGTAGGGAGAGGCTTGGCAAAGATGCAAAGCGCCTTCTCTTCGGTTCCACGGTTGAGCTGAGTCCTGCAGCTCGCGAGGTCGTGTTTGCACAACTGGCGCACCGCCTGGGCGTTTGGCTGTTTAAAACCGAGCTGGAGGATTTGTTTCTGCCCCAGCGTCTCTGTGTGAGTTTTGATGCAGTCTGAAGCGTGGCTACCAAATTGGGGCTCCAGGTCCTTCAAGTACCTGTACCCGACCGCCTCCTGGAAGTAAAAAGAATTCAAAGTCCAAGCCAGAATTACCAAAAGCTGGCTTCACTCAAAGGCTTTCCCTTGCTCAGATGCTCAGGAGTTTCAGCGGCTCGATAAGCTGCTGAGCATGAGGCGAGCACAGCCCCTCAGATGCATTACACAGGGTCTAGCTAGCACGAAGCCAAAACTGCCAGACCTAGAGACAGCATGTGCTTGAGGTACACGTCGACTCTGGCTGCGGCGACGCACGATTTTTCTGAGATTCTCAGGTGAGAGCTGCATACACCAGCTAGCTAATATCATTGTGCCCGCTGTTGACTGAGAGCCTGGCGTGGCTGCGCAAGTCGACATAGCAGGCGAGATAAAATGTTCAAAGAGCACAACATCAAGCTGGAGATCACGGGAAGGGAGTGCCTGGCTTGGAAAAGGCTGACTTCAGCTACTGTCAGGATGCACTGTATGCAAAGCTAGCATGGGCTAAGGAAGGGAATGTATTCGCTGTGGGAAAAAATGCGCAGAAAGACAAAGTACAAGAACAATATCGCCTTTGGATGCAAGTGTCATCAAATCTTGCTTGTGTCTTGCAATGCCACAAGAAGCAAGTTCATGCAAACAGCTGCCTTGGGACAAGTGCCGCTGAGGATAACATCGATGACATCATTGCATTGCGCGTCGTGCTGGACATCCAGCAGCTTGCTGGCGAAAGTGATGAGGATTTTGCGAATCGTGGCGCTGGCTATTGCTATCATGCCCTCACTTTGGTGCGAAAGCTCCCGAACTGGTCAGGTTGCGTGGCCTGATTTCTTGCACCTGCTGAGATCAATCTGCAGGAGTGGTAGCTGTCCTGTCGCGCAGGAGGCGATAGTCTAAAGAACTATATCGCCTTTCCAAAGCCGAACGGTGCCTTAGACAGCATGATCTTGCAAAAGCTGACATCATGACAGTCTGCAAAGTGACCATCACAGCAGCTCACACAAGGCTATCAGTCATTGCATGTGACATTTATTCACCATGATGCGCCGGTTCCACTGGAAATACAGATTCGAACCCGGCAGATGCACGAAGTTGCAGAGTCCAGGCCTCAAATGCCTAGTAGAAGTCAAGATCCCATGTTCTCAGATATTCCACAGATTCATGCATGCCAGGGAAGTGGAGCTGACATGCAGAGCAAACCCTTTGGCAGAAGTAAGGTATGGCATGGCAGCACATTGGATATACAAAGATGAGCAGCGAGGTGATGGCGAGCAGAAGAAGACTGGACCTTAGCGGTTCCAGCTTGTGCAAGGTCAGGTCAGATGAACATGCAGCACTTGTCCACCAGATTGTTGAAGCAAAGGTCGAAGATGCGGAGCCGCAGGGTTGCATGGTTGGAGTCCCTTGCAGACAAAGCGCCTAGGATCAGATCAGCAGCCATTGTGTGTATACCTGGTCTCCTAGAGCCAGTCTGAGGACGGAGATTTACGCAAGGACGCGCAACAGTTTGTGGAGGAGGCAAGGGGCACGGTGGCCAACAACTATTGTCATGGTTTGCAGCCTTCAAGTTTCAGGTCTTGCGCGACGAGCTTGGAAGAAGGCACGCGCTGCAAAACCAGTGACTAAGACAGAACAGGCTGAGTATCGCTCAGCCAACTCCATTCATAGAGGAATCACGCAACAGATACAGCACCGCGTGCTGCGTCTGCCGCGGCTACAACAACACGTTTTTCATTCCAATGCTTGCGCGAGTAGCAGTTTGCGTTTTGGCGGGCAATGATACAAGTGATGAACCGTGGACCAACTCACTGAACATTTGGGCATGGCAAGCTCTAGCTGACAGGGCTGAGCACAAGGACTGACAATACTGAAGGTAGAGCTAAAGGACCACACCACGTGCGGGAAGGTACCTAACCACAAGCTGCAAGCGCAAGGTGTTCTCGGCGAGGTCCGAGCGCCGCCTCTCATAACAAGGGCGCCGATCACGCCTTGTAGCCGGACAGGAGAGGGATGAAGACCCTTGCATGGAGAGCACTAAGTTGTGCGTTGCTGCTGCCGCAGACGAGAGCAATATTTGACTGATTTTCACGAATACCCAACTTCAAAAAGCAGGGACGAAGATCCTTGAGCCCATTCTGTGCCACCCTTGTTCTGCTCCTCAGAAGTTTGGCTCAGCTGTTCAATCCGTTGTGTGAATCCTGTCGCAACCAAAACCGGAAAGTCCTTGCGCAGTTACGGCTACTTCCAAAAGTCCAAAAGGTGATGAGGGAGGCACTGTGGGGACCTGGAGGATGCGGTATGCGAAAAAGACTGTGGCACAACAATTGCTATGCCAAAATTGTTTAGCTGTAAATTTGAGCAGGTCCATAATTGTTCATTGCCCTTTGCTGATTTCATCTTTGCGCGGTGACCCGCCTCATTGTAGCTATAAGCACCCTCACACTTAGAAGCAACGTTCATCGCTTTGCAAGTACAGAGGTTCCCCCAATTGAGACTGGACCAGCTTTTCCGTTTTAAACACTCGAGGACAGTCTTCATGCGGAGGCAGCATTGGCTACGAATCAAACAGGGGTTGAGAGGCCCAGAAAGTTGGCTTTCTGCCGGTGCTTCTACACAACGACTGCATTCTAGGCTTGAGCTAGTAGCGCTTCTTGGCAACAGCAACAACAGCAACCAAGGTCAAAACAACCCACGCGGCAAACAGCATCAGCAACAATAAGAATATGACAAGAGAGGGAGAGAAACATAAAAGAAGGAACAACCACCATGACGAACACGGCCACGGCAGTAGCAGCAACAGTAGCAGCAGTAACGCCGGCAAACCACTCGAGTCCGTTTCAGGTGCCGATCAAATTACTTCAGCACATGCAGCGGCAACTCATCAATGCTGCGATTCCTTATCACAAATGATTGCCTCATGACATCCGTCATAAGTCTTGACAGCAGAGAGGGCAAAATGCCAGGAGCTATGAGGACGCCTTCTGCATCAGCAAAAGCAACAAAAGTAAGAGGATGTGAGAGGACAGGGGGCATTCAGCACGGAAACCAGAGACAGCAAAGGGCAAGAATTGAAAAATGGAGTCCTGCTTCACATCGCTGAGCTGCTAGACTTGCCAGAAATGCTTTGAGTCTCCGAGAGGCAATTAGTCCCGCCCTTTCTCAACATACAGCAGCAACAGATCACAAATGTTGAGGAAAGCACAGGCCGCAAAGAGCACCAGATCCAGAAGCAAAAACGCAGCTGCAAGGCTGTGCATGCAGGCAGCAAACGGCTTTTACTGACCCAACCGTGCTGGAGTACTGTACCTTTGCAACAAAACCTCCTACCCAGAGCAAAGCATGTGTGTCGTTTCCCTCTTGAAGACACAGCGAGGTGCTTCGTGTTCCTGCGCGATGGAACTATTCTGAACTTGTCAAGCCACTTGTCTCTGCGCAGCTTCGCCATTCATCGCAACTGGCTGATGGGCTGATGGATGTGGAGTACAATGAACATGGTCTCAATAGCTGAGGAGGATGCACGGCATTGGATGCTGCATTCAAGATTCATTCCGAGGTGTGCTGCAACTGAGGGCGGTCGGTTTTTGGTGGCACCAAACATAGCGCAGAATAGACCTCAGGTCGGACTGCACATGCAGCACGCGGTGATTAACGACAAGAAGGCCGCACGGCAAAAGGAATTCAATGCCTCATGTGTTTGGGGCCCGTTCCCTTCGGGTCTCTTCTCGGTATAAACGAGTATGACAGTTTGCCTTGAAGACCAAGTCCGCTGCAGAAGCATTGTGGAGGTGCCACCCTTTTATCAGCTCCAGAACGGTGACCGCACCTTGCTGCAATGGCAATAAAAATTGGGTTGTATTTGAGGACCCTTTGACTTTGGGAAGTTAGTTTCTGACGGATACGTTGTTTGCTACTATGAGGCTTAGACGTAGCACGTCACATTTCTTTGCCAGAGGTGTCAACATAGTGACATCTGACGATGCTGCTCCGCCCAGAGAGTGGAAACTTAGCAGCAGAAGACCATCATAGCAGATAAAATGCGTTCATTTCTTGAGCTTGTCCAGGCTAGCATATGCCTTTCTTCGATCTACTCGGAACAAGCTTGCAGCTCATTTCAGGCGAACGAAGAAGGAGCCAGAACCAGAAGTTTGCATGGGGTGCGCAGTGAAATGCACGCATGGCAGGAGAAGGAGCGTGCCGTCGACCTCGCAGCAGCTTTGGCGACAGCAGCGACGGCGGCAGCTGCAATTCCTCTTGTGCACTGAGGCAATCTGCACATTACGTAGTTGTTAAAGCTGGGCATAAACGTGCCATTTTCCGACATGCAGCAGTCATGCCTAGAGGATTTTTGTTTCACTATGCGCGGAGCTGTGGCAGTCAATTTTTTAAGCCCCCCCCATATCCATGCAATTGGAGAGATGCTATTGCCGTGCACGATTCATAAGGCCTGGATTTTCTTGTTGAGATTGAATTCGAAGATTTGATAAAGAATCATTATATATCAAGATCTCCAGGTCGGATTTAAGGCAAATCCTTTAGTTTAAGTCTAAAAGATATTTCAAAAGAGATTTTTCTTCTCAATCAATTCTTCTTGGAAATAAATAATCCGATTTCATTTATCCTTTCTTCTAGATTGATAGTCCTTTCTATTGAAATTCATTATTTTTTGATAGGAATATATTGGTGTATTTCGTAAAATCTTCTCTCGAATATGTAGGGGGGATTATCAAAATTATGATCTTTTTTTGGGTCCCTTAAATTAGGCCCCGTATTATAAAAGGGACTATAATTTTGAAAGGATTTCTAATCAAATGATGAAGCAGATTTGATATTTGCATATATTTTTTCATGTTAGAAGACTATTTGATTTATTTGCACGAGAATTCTTAGAATTATATTTGAATCGTTCCGGATCTACGTATTCCTCTGAATAGCTGTATCGATAACTAGGATGAGATAAATAACGTAGAATATTTCAGTTCGCATGAGAATGCCGACGATCGATTAATATATACATATATATGATCGTGCGAGCAAAAACCGTCAATCTAATAGATTTTAGCTCTTTACTGGGTCTGGCCGAATTATTGCGTAGATAATCGAAGAGATAGACATTTATTGGAATTTCGAGAAATTTTGAATAACTTCCGCTCCTCATCCAAGTCTATCTTTCTGCCTCATTTAGTTTTCTTAGATTATCTGCGCGGCGACTCGAGAGGATGTATAAATCCCCGTAAGGAGACTCCGGAGGCAAGGTCCGCGCAATTTTTCTCTTTCTTAAGTACTACTAATAATCAAATACGAGAAATAAAAAATCTCCGAAATTATTAGCCGCGCTGCCCATAACAAAATTTTTGAAAATTTTAGAGCCTGCAGCCTTTTCTTTAGAATTTATAGATTGGTTATATTTATTTAATGAGATTTATCTCTTCTCGCGATACGCCGCGCAGATAGATTAAGAGAGATAAATGAGGCGGAGAGAACAGGTTGCTGGGAGGAGGGAAAATGAAGATCCGCGGTAGAGATCTAAAAAAAAATTCAGAATCTATACAGCATATGCGAGCTTAAAATCTTGATAGTTCATCGGAGTTTACGTCTAATATATAAATTTTGAATATCGGATTTTCCGATATGAATTTTCTCGAATAAATATATTCTATTGATCTAGGCAATAAACCTATTCTAATTCTATATAAAATGATTATAATTGATTGAGAGAAACTAGATAATTGAGAATATCCAAAAAAATGAATAGGAAAATAAGATAAATGGAAAGATTTAATGAAAATGATAAGATTCTAAAGATTTCATGAAATTATCGTTATAATAATTGATCTAGAATTAATTTGTAGTTTTAGTAACGGAAAAAAATAGTTGATTATATTTATAATGAGAAATCGGATGAATAATTATATGATTAGATATATAATCTGACGAATAAATTATGAATAAGAGTGAAATTGATAAAAATGAATAGATATTTGGATTTGTAAGATTTCCGATAAATTGCCGCATAGATAATTAAAGAGGACGGAATGATTCTAGATTTTGAGGAATTTTTGATTATGGGACCCTCATAATTAATCTGATTCTTCGATTTCATTGATCTTTCTTCAGGAGAATATATAAGCCTCTAAAGGAAATGAATATTGATATATTCTTCTGGATAATCATTCATCATATTTCAAATATGATTTTTGAAAAGATTCTTCTTTATCAATTAATATGATATATTATATTTCTATCAAAATATCGTTAATAGGATCTCAATAAATGATTGAAAGAATAATGATCTATTTCAATTATTGAATATATCAATAATCTAAAATAATATTCTGCATATATCTTATGATATATAGGATGATTGCTATTCTTCTTCCTCTTCTTAGCACTATTATCGTATTCGGCGAAATAAATGATATGGAAAGTCGCTCTGGAATCAAATTAAAAGATTTTAGATCTCCATTTCGGATTTAGACGATTTTGTTGACCCGCCGCGTAGACAATCAAAGAAAGAGAAATGATTATAAATTTCGAATTTTTGGTCGCATGACCTCCCCCATCCGAATTAATCTTTATAATTTATTAATTATTTCTCTTGGACGATCTGCCCGATGGCTCAGGAGGTCCTGTATACATCGGCGCTCGGAAAGTTTCG